CTCCATACAACATTCCAGAGAGAGTTAGGAAGAGAATCTTGCAAGAACAGCTACGAGAACTGAAGGGCAGTTGAAACAACAATACATAAGCCTAAGTCCCTTATTTGAAGCAGAAATGGCCCAAGGTGATCAAGACGGATCTAGAGCTCAGCAAGGCCAACAAGACCAGCGCCAAATTCAACAAGGCCAGTAGCAGCGAGAAGATCACTTCAAACCGCGCGCAGATCCAAAACACCCTATCTATCGGTCGTACAAAGTTTTGAATAATAGGATCGAGAAATTCTCCGATTTAGGAAATAGAACTCTCGAAGGATTTTTGGAAGACTATGTAGGCACGATAGAATGTTTTGATATCCCATAACCCGATGCTAGAAGCCTGCTGCCTATGTTTTGAACAGGTTTTGCGAAGCTCAAGTATAATTCCATCGAAAATGCCAAAACTATGCCCTGGGAAGACTTAGTGCTGCAACTGGCGAAGAAGTGGTAAGAACGAAGCGCTCTTAAGTAACGTACGCGATGAGTTGCACGACCTTAGGCAGGAGAAAGATTCCGTTGGAGAATTCGCGCGGAAAGTATTGGCGAAAGCTAAAATAACGTATCAAGCACAGGATATGCACATCTTATCCTAATTAGCTATAGACGTTTTCGTCAAGGGTCTTAGGTCAGGTAGACGGAAAGCTATTAGACGATTACCAAAGAAGGAGGACTACGACGAAGTCGTGTCTAGCGCAAATAAGAGGCCAGAATTTTAGATCAAGAGTGAGCTGAAGAGCGACGCCTTGAGGGCCGTCAACTCCCTTATAGTAAGCGATAAGCTTAAGAAGATGCAAGAACAACTTAGCAATTTGTCCTTAGCGCGAAATCGACCATTCAGACCGGGTCCCAAAACATCAAATCGTGGAAACCCCGTTCTTCGGGGACGAGGGAGAAGGCAGCGACGCCCTGGTCCATCTTATAACTTTAGGACGAGAGGAAGCTTGTGGCCTAACTATCCTTTTCGCGCACGCGGTATTCTCAAAAAAAACCCTTTTTTGACACCTGGGGGGATATTTTGCGTATTTTCCCAGTTACTTTCCGCAACTGCCCCAATATCACCCCTCGGAAATTACTCAGGACCCGGGGGTTTACCCATCACAGAACATCGATCCAGCGGTATGTTCCCCGCGAGCAATTAAGTTCCATCCTCAGAAACATCTGGAAACACGTTACGGAGAATCTGGAGTCTTCTCAGGTCGCTCAAAAACATCTTTACGACCTGAGAAAAAGAGTAAAACCAAGTGACTATAATGTTGGAGACTCGGTGTTAATTCGAAAAGAAGTCGGCTTAAAATATCGCAACAGTTCGAGGGACCTTTTGAAATAATAGAAATAAACCGGCTTAGTATTACTGTACGAGATGGCGCGCGCATTCGTACGGTTCACATTAACCGCACGGAGCCGTTTCGTAAGTAAAGTCTTTCTAGTTTCTTTCACTTTTTGGGAATAATAATGTGCACATAAAAACAAAAAAAGATGAGCTCTCTCGAATAACATCCGCAGCAGGCGACGTTTTCTCCTTGTGATCGAGCCACAAAAGGTAAAATGAATCGCTTATAAGATCATCGCTGCTAAAAGAAAATGAAAGACAACTTTTGATCAGTTTTGGAAAGAAGAAGGGAAAAAGATCAGTCTTACGCCGCCCAAGAGTGAAAATTGGCCACTTTCACTCTTAGGCTCCGGCTAAGTGCCGCAATATCTATTTGCAGGTATGGAATGGAAAGTAGATGTATGGTCGCCATCGAAACATCAACATGCATGGCAATCGACAAATATGCTGAAATACTGTTACTCATCTCGTCGTGAAGCTGTACTATTCGTCTATTCGTATGCTGTGAAGATACAAGACGTTATTCGATGCGTTATTCGATATCAGTCCACAATCGACCGAAGAAAACCAATGGACAGCCGAGGGAAAGATGAGAAGAAGAAATCCAACCTGTAACCATAAATTTGACACCAAATCTGATCATCGTATTTCGTATTTCAATGTTCGACTCTAACACTCATGTCGAACTATCTTCGCGCTCGAGAAGGAACAATATAATTCATCATCGACACGATGAGACACCATTAACGGAGTCTCAAGGACCATCCAATGTGTTCTTTGATGTGTATATTGTAATTTCTTTTTGTGTTGTTGTAGTGTTTTTTGTGGAGCAGAAAATCCATCGTCCGTCCAAGCTTTTTTCTATCTAGCAGTAAGCCTGAAGCCTTATGCATTATTCCATCTCTATGCATTATCCCTATTCGTCAATCCGACCGGCCTTCCTAGCATCAGCTCAGGGCCAGCTTATCCCGACGATGAGGATGTAAGATCAGCACATCAATACATGGAAGAAGAATGGCAGAACGTATGCGGCAGATATGGATGCAATGGAAACTGGATTTTTGCTTTGTGATACTCTGCAAATGCAACTGCCGAAGTGCTCGGAAAGTACATCATCGAGCTTGATCGCCAAATTTAGATTTTAATTTGTCTAATGATGTGCCTCTGAGGATAATGTTGTATTGTTTCTGTATTGTTCGGCTGAGGGCTTGCTATTGTTTTTGCCTGTATAAATAACCCGGCCGTTTGGCCATGAGCGGATCGGACGGCGGATCTACGCTTTAGATTTTCCATTTTCTTTTCTTTGTAATTTTCTCTTTCTGAGGCCCCTTAAGGACCTCTTCATCCAGAGTTTTTGAAGTAGTATATTTTGTCTTGTAATTTCTGAGTAGTAAAATAATTCAAATTAAAGTGCTTTGTGAATTTCCTGAGTGGAGTCGGAGCTGGAAGGTTCAGCCGAGGCCCCTTTAGTAACGGACTCGCGTGATGCGGGACTGAGAAAAGGGGCGCGGCTGACATACCCACCGTAACTTCGAAATGAGGCACTACCGTTACTAATAAGCATCATAATCGTGATCAGCCTATCAAATAACCCACTGCACGAAGTTTCAACGGAAATCGTGATTTTGACCCTTTACCGTATACCCACCTTTCATTACCATGTTCTATCGGCCCATTTGACCAATGTCTGATGCCGGCCGAAGGCATCAGAAGCTTCTTCCAGTTGTATTTTCGTACTAATCAAAACGTTTGGATGGGCCCGTTTACTTCTAGTATGTTATTCCTTGTCTGGAATAAATCTTTTGTTGGGATACTCTGTCAAGGCTGGCATAAACTAGAGTTCGGGTAGATATGAGTATCCTCTTTACTTGATGATCCTACGGAGCTATAGCCAGAGCCTTACAATATTTGTAGTGCGCAGCTTTTCGAAGTCGCCATAGGAAGGAGCTTGTAATGGCTTCTGTGATGAGAAATCCTAAATCTCCGCTGCTGAAATTCTCTGGGAGGGGACATCCATATTAAACTAGCCATTGAACAAATATGGCTATTGCCTCACGTCTTCCTCCTTCGAATGTGCACTCAACGAATGCTGAAAATTGAGCTGAGGCATGAAGAAATGAGGAGTGGGTGGGTATCGGCGGCGGCACTCGTCATTCGTTTATAGGAGCCTAGATCATCTCAAAATGCTATATAGTAATATCAGATTCCATTACTTGACTACGTTTTGGCTTTTTGCACATCGCATTGCAAAGGGTGGAGAAACATTCAGTAGTCTACTTATGGTTACCAAAATAAGAATAGACCTAGCCTTCGTACTACACCTACCAACTGTGACAATTGTTTTGGACGAGCCGCGCGGAATTTGCGTAGGAGCGGACTCCTAAATGCGCTCGGGTGATACGCGTATTTCGCGCTGCTGTACGCTATCACATCGGCGCCGCGGTACGCTATATATGACTTAACGCCGCTGGTACGGCATTTTTATGCTCACTCGCTGGTACGGAAGTTTTGTTTTCACGCCATGATACGGCATTCTGAATGTGTGGGGCCAAAAATCAATTTGAAATCATTTTTTTTCTGTTTCGATAATTGACACTGCATTTGAGACAGTTAACTCGATCAAGTACAACAATCAGTACATCGGGCATTCGAAACAATCCCATACAACGAGCGGAGATGTGAAAAAATGGGGGGAATGAAACGAGCAGAATAGACTACGATAAACTTATGGAAAGGCTTAGGGACTTTCATCTTAAGGCAGTGGCTCGGCAAATTCTCAACTTGAAGATTTTCCGCTTATCTGTGGTAATTCGACGCGCTGCTTCCGAAAATATACCTTGGAGAGCGCGAAAATGGCGAAAACCAGCATTTTTAAGGCCCCTCATTTTGAATTTGGACGAGTGGAACCCTCCCCGCCATGATCCGAGACGTAGAGTCGTCACGGGACCCTCATGTTTTAGTATTGTGACATGTCGCTCCGATGATGAGAAGGGAAACGCAAGCTAGTCCGAACGCGTGTAAGAATGGCTTGGGCGCACGACAGTTTTTAGGACAGATTTCTAGGCAGAAGCTGCGTGCTGTGCGTTGGGATGCAAACAACCTTCCATATCAAAATTTTGATATGTTTGGTTTTGCCGAGCCACTGCCTTTGAAACCGTATTCGACGACGGACCGATAACACTCGTTGGGGTCGCGGCTTGGCTGACTTCGAGGCTGCTTCCGGCTGTGCTTGAACTGCTTGCGAGGGTGCTTGGGCTTCTTGAGAAGGTGCTTGCTGCGACGGTGCTTGTTGCGACGGTGCTGGGACTTCGTCTTCCAAGTCTGCTACAGACCTTTTGCTTGCCGCAAAAAAATTACACATTAACAGATCAAACCTTCAAATCAAATGACAAAAACATACATTGTTTGAGATCCACTTCTTCTGATCCGTGTCGTACTCATATCCGCCGACATTACATTTAAATAAAAAAATAGTGGGGTTTTTCCAAAATATGGTTAGATACTTACAATGCGATTTGCAAACATTTGAATAATACGGGCAATCGTGCCTTTCTTGAGTTAGATCGTCGAGGTGTTCTATTTACTCCTGCCGAGTTGTTTTCCCCAGGCTCAGATAAAATCTGCAAAAATGAACTCATCTCAATTCACATGTGTGCTGATTAGTACTAAGACTCCTCCAAATTAGTGTTGTGCCGGTCCTTAATTCGTTGTGACCGAGTCCGAGCATATCTTCCGCAAAATCTGAAATACTCATTAATGAAGTAGTAGTTGAAAAAACCTAATTACTTACCTTTTAGCCTTTCCTCGACATCCTCTGGTAGGGTTTTGAGTCTCAAGTCTCTCCCGCTGCTCTTGTTTACACGAAGCGCGTACTCTTTGATAGCTTGAGGCGGACTAGTTGCCTAGAGAAAGGAATATTACTTTAGTAATTTGCAGAATAAAAGCTCTATTCGACCTAACCGCTATAAAACGATAGTGATGTGAGCTGCTGATGAAGACTGTTCCTCTATTTGTGCATCCATGGGGTGCACAATTCGTTCGTTTAAGCTGAATACATGGCATATTACAAATTTACAAGTAAAAATGGTCACTTACCTTTGTAAATGGAGCTGGAAAGTCCAAACTCTATAATTTGGCGCAGTTTTGCAGTGATAGGATCGTGTCATTGTGATTGGCCAGCGTTTTTCTCCGTCACTTTCGAGAGCCGTGCCACTTTTTGCTGCTTCGACACTATCAAACGGTGTTTTGCAGTGTTGTAATGTACGATTTGAATGCCGACACTGCAAAGGTGACTTGTGTTGAATGTTCTTGGAAGGAGCCTATGGTATTATTAAGGTAACCAACTATTTATTAAGGTTAATTGGTTCACGGCTGGTGACTGACTGTGTTGCGTCGAATAGTCAGTCAACAAGCGCACATTCAGCTGCGTACCAAAAGTAGTAAATTCGCATTTTCGCGTTGTTGTCGCGAATCGAGCGGATGTACGGTGCGGTGTTCTTCCATAGCATGTGTTCTTCTTGACAATGAATTGGCAGTCCAGAGATTTGCCATTTTGTCGAAGACATATATCAGAACTTGACTGAGTATCTATCGATCTATCTGTATCTGCTGCTGTGAGTGCATGTTTTCAATGTTTAGGCTAGCTCGCCCTCCTCTGGCACGAGGTCTGCTAATCTTGCTGTGGAATGGCGCTTGATCTCGGAGGTGGTAATTTTATCAAGGTTAGTTGGTTCACAGCGTGAACATGACAGTTCATTTATTTATTGTTACATAGGGTTGCCCCTACGTGGGAATCAAACAAAACCAGAAAAAAAAGCGACACAAAACAAACAGAACAACAACTAAGATCAACAATGACAAGATCATCCAACCTGAGGTACATCAGATCATCACAAACAACTTTTGGTCTTGAACGTTGATAGCTTGACAGTTAACATTCCATTTCTTACCATTTCATCAAGATCAGATGATACGCGACAGCTGAAGAAGTTTTCTCTCGGTTTTGACTTTGCTCTTGGTTTTATCAACTTTACATGCCCACCACGAGTGCTGGAAAGTTTAGCGGAAAAGTAATCCTTGAGGTCGAGTCTACATTCTCCAAAAATGATCTTATGAGACAGAATCAAATCAAATTTGCGCCTTCGGTATGCTAATGTCGACACCTTGAAATTCAAGTTACGAGTCTTAACAACAGGAATCCGGTCCAGGGCCCGGCACAGATCGTCTGGAAGCAGGCTGGACTTCGTTTTTGAAGCAAACAGCAAAGGAGATATCGTTTCTGACGAATAGGGGCTAAGCACCAAGAATGAGCGCCATTTAGTCGAACACAAGCTTTTCGGACAGGTTATCGCACGATTGACATGCTCTATCGTGTACGGCGGAAAGTGCGCGCGATTTGAAAGCAACGCTAAAATAAACAAATTGCTTGTTTACAACGCACACAGAAGCATATGACACCAAAATTGAACTGTATACATAGAGAATTATTTGCGGAAGAATTATGTAAAAAGATTTGAAAACTTATGTGAAGTAATACCTTTTCCAAAATTAGATCGTCTCCAGACGGCCACCAGACGATCTGAGATCGTCTGGAGCATATATTTTCGTCACTTCACATAAGTTTCGGATCTTTTTAGCATGGACGGATTCCCCGGTCAAAAATCTATCCCTGAGCATGAAGACATTTTCACATCATTGCCTTTCCTTTGTTTTTTGCCTTCATTTATTCTCGCTTTGTTAGATATCGCGCTCTAATGCCAAAGTCTTGTGCATGCGTAGTATTCAGCTCCAATTTGGATTTTCGCTCTTATCTTACGTCTTTTCTTTCAGACTGGTAATTTTTTCTTGTTTTCATCTCCTTCTAAGCAGGTAGGTCAAAGGGGACTTCTTAAAACTTCCGTAAGTCAGGGGAGACTTCGTTTTCAGAAACCCTAGAAAGCGACTCGTGCCGGGCCCTGATCCGGTCATATGATAAACCGGTAGTTCTTATAAATAATTTACGCGTAAAACTGTTCTGATTTCAAGATAGTTGACTGTTTTGCACAGATGAGGGCTATATATAGAGGTACCGTATTCTAGCATAGGTCTTATGAATGTCTTATACGCTTTCAGGAACACCTCAGCTTTATTACACGAGAGTGCTCTGAACAAGTTAAAAACAACCCTCATAGCAGTGTCCGCAATAATTTTACAGTGCTCATCAAATGTGAGATCATTCCTAACTAAGAAGCCCAAGTCACGCCCAGATGTGACTGCTCCTAGAGAGACTCCTTGTGGTGGCTGTAGGCTTTATTGTAGCCTTAGGCGAATGGGTGGCGCCTGTAGTGGTGTATGGTGGCTCCTGGTGTGTTATTAGAACACGTAAGCTGTTAGAGCTTTATTGAACAGACGACATGCACTCATTCGTGCAGTGGTAGAATGCTAACAATTATAGGCGGAGTAAGTTAACATAGATACGTCTGGGCAATAATATACTTTTATCACAGCAGGTCATGCCATGGGCATGACCTTAACGGCACTTTGGTAGGAGTAATGATACGGCTGTGAGAAAGTGCCGACAAAGTCGGCACACTCCTCAAGTGTATAGGTACTTATAATTACTCGAACCTAAATGAAGCACCTTGGTTTTCTCTCGAGAAATGGGCATTTCCCAGTCCAGCGACCAAGCATACACATCGTTCAAGGTATTTTGCAACAATTCGCGTCCGCTGTCATTCATCACCACAGCGTACAATTTAAGATCATCAACAAATGCAGTACAAGAGACTCCTTTAAAAAGTGGGATGGGACAAAGGTCATGGGTATAAATTTTAAATAATATTGGTGAAAGAACACCTCCCTGCGGCGCACCACTACTAATTTCTCTTGGTTTAGAGAAGGAATCATTGATTCGTACAACAAATCTTCTGATCAAGAAGGCTTCAATCCAAGCAATGATACGCGGATGTATACCTACAACTTCGAGCTTTTGCAGAAGTTTTCTATGCGGAGCTTTGTCAAAAGCCTTGGCAAAATCCAAATAGATGACGTCGATGTTCAACCCATCCTCAATTTGTCGCGTCCATTCATTCAGGGAATGGAGCATGGCAGTTGTGGTAGAACTGCCTTTTTGAAACCCATGCTGAACAGGATTTATAACGCTATACTTCTCTAGATGTTTTGTTATACTTTTCTTCAAAATTTTTTCAAGTAGTCGGGCAAAGATCGATGTTATACTAATAGGCCTATAATTCCTAGGGCAAGTGTAAGGTTTCCTTTTAGGTATAGGTGTAACAAAAGACAAACGCCACCTCTCGGGAACCTCAGCTCTTATCATACTCAAGTTGAAAATGTATTCAAGGGGATCACAGACTATATCCGCGACAGCTTTGATGAATTGCAATGGCAAGAAGTCTGGTGTTAGGGAAGTGGATTTTGGCCAACGCATCAACAGTTTGTAAATTTCATCACGATAAGACCATACTCCTTCCTCCATTGTTTCGAAGGTTGCTGTGGACTAATTATCACTGGGACCAATTTCAATTTGAAATACTTTTTCAAAAACATCAGCCAAACATTCAGCTTTTGCTGCATCCGCAGTAATGGCTGCGCCATCGTCAAAACAAAGAGGCCCTAGACCACTTTTTCTTTTAAGTCTGGAGCTGATCATCCTGTAAAATAGTGACTTATTACCACTGCTTACAACCTTCTTTTTAACAGAGGAATTGTATTTTCGTAGCTTCTTTCGGAACCTAGCGTCCAAGTTTGGAGTAAGTGCATTGCGCATTCCCCCCAATCTTGACTATTTTCGTCCATGCTCGTTGTCTAATGGCATGGAGAGCGCAAAGGTATTTCGGCATTACATGTCTGATCACAGGGACTGTGATTAAGGGGACATACAATATGCTATGATGCAGTATGAACAGAAACATTTCATACATCTGACTGACGGTGTTTACCTTATCAAATGAACCATACCAGTCAACGCCAGATAAATATTGTCGCAAACCCTGAAGATCAGCATGTTTGAAGTCTCCACGTGTGGTATAGGATGCATTGCGACTCTCAAAGCTATTCATTCGAAATTTGATCGATGCGTGGTCGCTGGTACCCAGTGGTGCTTCTACTTTGACCTCACTAATCAATTCGTGATCATTTGTAAAAATCAGATCCAGTAAGTTGTTACCCAGCGTTGTTCTAGTCAGTACGAGTTCGAGTCATGCGGGGCTTCGCCTCGGATGTTATCCTGACTGTATCGGAATGAATGTTAATGAAGCAAATATAGGGACTAATAACTTTAAGTTATCCCAGCGAAACCGAGAATTTGCGTTTTCATAGCCTTTACGTCAAAAAAGAAGGTTTCTGTGAGATCGCCAGAATTCAGGACAACATTTCTCAGTTGACTCTTATTCGACCAAAATTGAGTTTTAGGAGCTTAGGAAAGCTGCTGGCGTTGTTGTCTGTTCAATATTGTCTGTTGAATAAAACGCTGCTGATTCAATTTATATATTATCGTACGCCGCCTGTACGTTTGAAGGCACGCGGTCGGTCATGCTTCACAAATGCGCGCCGCTCGTACTGAGACACTCCAAATTGCGCGCCGCTCTTACTCAAATCCGTCTGTGTCGCGCCTCTCATACGCTCGACAGGCGCGGGTCGTAGGAATGGTTTTTTTTGCGCGTCCGAAACGAATGTATTGCGGGTACCAGAGACTCTTGGGCGGTTTTTGCCCCTAACAACACAAAAGTAGAAAGGACGGTAGTTCAGTGTTTATTAAAAAGAGCTAACAAGAGTACAGCGAATACGAGAGCAGGATAACGACACGTTTATGTCACACGTTGGATATACAAGTGAAGGTAATGCAAGAGGTTCGGCCACGCCTATCTCGGCGTGACCTAGGGTCGCGGCGGGGTACCATCGGTACGATGATACTCCCGCCGTGAGGGGAGCAGCCAGAACACAGCACGTAGGATACAACAACAAAATTAAGTATCACTTGTCCGTCGATGGATATAGTAGACTGAGCTGGGGTTCAGTGGTCGACGGATTTGTTGATGGCGTCGACTGGAGACGGGCTGTTGCTGGACCGGCGACTTCGTGGGGGCGAGCTGGAGGCGGAGCTGGTGGCGTTGACTTCGTGGCTTGGGGGCGGGCTGGAGGCGGAGCTGGTGGCGTTGACTTCGAGGCCTGAGGTTATCCTTGAGGCGGAGTTCAGTGCCCGGACGTTTCGGTGCGTTATGTGGGGCTCGCCTGCTGGAGCAAAGGAGAGTGGCCGAGGCCACAATTTCCACACTTTACCCCGCAGTCATCTTCATGCGCTGCTTTCAGCCAACGCAGGCAGAGCCCCATCGTCGCTTCTTGTGCGGCTTTCTCGACGGAATCCCTGAAACGAACGTACCTACCGGAAAAATGGTTGTCTTGGTTCTCCCCCACACTGCAAAATACACAGTTGGATCTGGGTGAGGTGCGTTCCAGGATCCGTTTATTCTGCTCCACAATCTGGGCGTTCGACTCGAGGATTCTGCCGTTCTGCTCGACAATGGTTCTGCACAACATCTCCAACGCGGCCAGCTTGGGCGCCAGGTGGGTGTCGTCGTAGCGGTCCAAGTCCTCCAAGGCTTTTTGCAGCTCCGCTGTGAGTGATATCGTTGGATGGTCGCCTTCATGATATGGTTGTAAGGAAGGTGCCGACAAGTCGGCACAAAATGTCAGAGAATTCCTTGGGGCTCAACCCTGTAAGACTTTTGCCTGACAGGGCCAGGCTATATTGAAATCGCATTGTTGGATACTTCCACAAGTGGACTTCTCTTTTTTTTTCTCGTGATGGCCAGTTTGAGAGTCGTGAAAGCTTACGCTAGTCCGTTTTAGATGGTTTAGATTTATTTATATGCCCGGTGTACATTTGATCAAATGACGAGCACAAAAATCCATTTTGCACCCGTCAGGAACAAAGTCGCTCGACTCAATTCCAATTTTCAATTCCATTGAAGAACATAAAGTGGTTAGTATGGAGACGCTTCTCCAGTGATACTGAGATAAATGCTGGAACTGCGCAAAAACTCCAAACTGCTAGAACAAGAGTTGATTTTTGGCACAACGCTTATGTCTGCAATTGCACGTTAACACGCATTTTTACGACTTCAATTTCTTATCAGTCATTCACGAGTTTCATCATGTTTCTTCTGCCTTTGTTGTGCTTGAGTACTACCAGACAATTTTTATTGTTTCGTTGATGTGCAGGTATGCGTACTGCATGAGAATTTGTTACTTGTTGATTCGTTCGAAATAATCTTATGTAAAACGTTCCTTTCAACATCGATGGCACTACTGAAAGCCAATTTTCGGTTGGTCTGGAACATTCAGAATATTCCGAACTTTATTCGTGTATTGCATTCTTTCAGCCATGGCAGACGTCCCAGCCAATGCGAATGCTGGATGCCCAGGAGTGGGTAGTGCTGGAGCGGGAAAAGCTTCTGGATGTGCTGGTTGCCCCAATCAGGTATTTCGGCGTTAGTATTTTCCACCTTGTTCAATTGTTCCGGCTCATGCAAGAGTCTGGAGCCGAGAGTCTTACCTAAGCCCTTGTCCAAGCCCAGCTCCTGTAATGCATTCGCGGCCGAGAATTTCGACACTAAAGCCTTACCCAAATCGTACTCTATGGTGTCAGCGTCTTCGAGTATAGTGGTTGTTTGGCTCAAAGAATACGATTTGGACAAGAGTCAGTTGAATTCTTTGGCTACGATTGAATCACATGTGCAGGGCTATAGCTAATTAAGGTTTCACACTCAGTATCATATAGAAACTTCGGGTGACTTGGTCTACCTGAATCGTTTTCAAAATTCGTGGCTGCGCTTGTTATCGAATCATTATAAATTTTGCTATCCCGGCAACCATCGTTTGTTTCAGGGATCCTGCGCTACCGGTCAGCCTCCAAAACCTGATGATGATATCAGACTGATTCAAGACCGATTCAGTGGAATCAAACATAAGGTACTCGGTTTGGCTACTTGTGCGTTTCTGCGCTGTTTAATTCGTTTTATCAATAGCTTCCAGATTCTGATTTTGTCGGGGAAAGGTGGAGTAGGTAAAAGTACGGTAACTACATGCTTGGCTCGTGCTCTCGCTTCTGATCCTGAAAAGCAGGTAGAATTCTGTTGGTGCTTGGCTGCTTTTCGCAAATGTTGATGCGAAAGTTTTTAAGGTAGCCATTCTGGACGTCGATATCTGCGGTCCATCTCAGCCACGAATGCTTGGCGTAGAGAATGAAGAAGTTCATGACAGTGCAGATGGCTGGACGCCTGTATCAGTGCGCGAGAATCTGTTGCTGATGAGCATTGCCTTTTTACTCGGTAAGCGTTCAGTTTTCATCTTAGTTAGTTTTATTATCAATGGTTGGCGTTACTTTGGTGGTGTTTCTCCGTGATTTTATTTGCAAATCGATGGGATTGCGAGCATCAATTGATGAAACCGTTAGATAACTCATAGCTCTCATAGCTTCCCCATCTATCGTCTAGAAGTGACAAACACCTTTCAGGAAATAAGAACGATGCTGTTATTTGGAGAGGAGCGAGAAAGAACGGTATGATCAAGCAGTTTCTTCGCGATGTGGACTGGGGAGAGGTTTGTTTATTTTTCTGTTGTTCCGAACTTAGTCTCCTCTCTATACATTTTCTCTCAGGATTTGTGTTCAGGTCGATTACTTGCTCATCGATACTCCACCAGGCACTTCTGATGAACATATCTCACTAGTACAGTTTTTACTACAAGCGGGAAGTCTCGATGGAGCAGTCATTGTCAGCACTCCGCAAGAAGTATCGTTGTTGGATGTACGAAAAGAGGTTAGTGCCATCTGAAAACAAAGTCAGTAGTATTTCTCACCTCAATACAGGTCAGCTTCTGTCACAAAACCAAAGTCCCTATCTTGGGTGTTGTTGAGAACATGGCAAAGTTCGTCTGTCCACATTGCAACCATACAAGTGTGCTTTTTCCATCAACTACAGGCAAGTTTCTGTTGCTGGTGTTGCCATTCCATTTCGTATTTTTTTCATTTCTTCTCATGGATTTTCATCCTATCAGGTGGAGCAACCACAATGTGTGAGGAGGGTAAACTTGATCTTCTTACACAGCTTCCACTGGAACCTGGTCTTGCTAAGGTGATTGTTGATATTTTGCTACCTCCGTTTGCCATAACTCATATCACGTTTGAGGCTTTGGACAATGGAGAAGACTTCTTTGAACGATATCCTGATTCTGTTCTCGCGAAGGCCTTCATGGATCTAGCTGGAAAGCTCCAGACTAAATTGGAGTAGATTCTTCTTGGTAGTTCTCATAGAATTACAGTTTATGAGAGCTGTTGTAGCCATTCCGCGCTTGACACTCATGGTGGTCGTGTGATATCCCGTCGTCTTATTAGTTATATTACCGATCTGTATATTTTACCTCACTGTTGAGTTTTACCGCTCTTGTCAAATTCTATTGTTTTTGTTTTGCTGTTGTTCAATATCCGAAATAAATAATGTTATCTAGCATATCATGTGCTTTTGTCTAATCTGGTTATCAGCATAGTTCTAGATAGAGTGATTACATCAGCGGCAGTGTTCAGATTATTCTAGGAGACCATGTACCGGGTGGTAGTCACCGGTATGGGGGCAGTGACGCCGTATGGCGCAGGAGTAACTGCCCTCACGAGAGGTCTAATGGAAAGTCGATCTGCCTTGAAATTCTCGGAGCAGTTGGGATTCGTGGTAACTTCACCACATTATTAACAAGTTTTTTGTAATTGGTAAAAGAATTGCTATATTCGGTTTCCTCGCAGTCTTTAGACGTAGTGGCCTCAAGAGTTGAATGAACTGAATCTTTTGCCGCCTCTGTTCTACATTCATTGAGCTACAAGCTATACATAAAATTGTGTGTCTGATCTGAGAACGATTGCTTAGGTTGGTGCGATACCCGAAGGGTCAGCGGATTTTGATCGGTGGAACGCTGGGCAGCAGCGAGAAATGAGTCGAGGAAGTCAGCTGGCATTATTAGCTGCTGAAGAGGTACCGATTTCACACGAGAGCAAGCTCATGGCATTCTGGGTGCAGAGATTGTCCTTTTAGGCCATGTCCTCGTCGAAGGCAGAAAATCTGGATCACAAAGATACATTAGTAAATATTGGTACAGGTGTGGCGGATCTCATAGAAATAAGCAGAACTGCAGAGCTAGTGCAAACTGGCAAAGCTAGGTTTGCTTTTATACTCCAAACGTACAAGGATTCAGTAGAGGTTCTTTCTTGCTTGATTTTAGGAAAGTTTCACCATATTTTGTACCAAAAATCTTAACGAACATGCCAGCTGGATATGTAGCCATGAAGTGAGTACTTTACTATAACAGTCAGTGATTACTCTTTTGCAAACATTATTTTTCAGATATGGTTTGATGGGAGGAGCCGAAAGTGCCACAACAGCTTGTGCTACAGGCCTACACTGCTTAGGTGAGTGTTATAAGTTGATCAGCTTGCGCTGTATGAACAATGAATTTTTCAGGAAATGCTTTTCGATCTGTTCGTCATGGTTGGGCGCGACGAGCTATCGCTGGAGGCACAGAAGCCTGTGTCAATGCAGTTGCGCTTACTGGATTTGATAGGTATCGCAAAGTCGAATTGAGAGAAGTATTAAAGAAAGGCGCGGGAGTTGAGGAAAACAGGACTAGAAAGCAAGAGCTGGTGGGAGGGGGGGGGGGGGTGCAGTCAATATCAGAGAGCTAGCTGAGAAAAAAGCTTTCAGCCCCTGCTTACTGTCCTTAGGTTCTAGAAGAGAAAGGCAGAATTGTTAATTTTTTGGTTAAAATTTTTGTCAGTGATTACTTCTACTCGTTTATCAAAATGGTTAATTTCACTATAAAATTTCCAAATCACATTTGCCAGCAAATTTTTTCTTGCGGTGTGGCTGCCGCTGAAGAAAAATCCGCTCAAAATTTGGAAATCAATTCAATATTGTTTTGGACAGGCTGATGCCACGCTCTACCACTTGGAAGAAATTTTTGTTGCGCTAATTTGTCGCACTCAAAATAATCTCTGGAACCGCCCACGATCTTGGGGACCAGTTCTCGTCGCTTTGGTGATATCGCGTATTCGCTTGCTGAGATTCGCCCCATTCTACCCCATAATCAAGATTGAAAATTTGCGTTTTGGATGAAAAGAATCAACCTCAAAAAGAGTTTTCGTCAGAGATTGTTGAATCTTGGATGAAAAAAATCATTACCTCAAAAAGAATCTTTTAGAATGCGAGCTTTGTCACATGGAAAGGATCCATCGTGTAGCTCCCCTTTCGATAAGAAAAGAAGTGGTTTCATTTTGAGTGAAGGCGTTGGACTACTGTTATTGGAGCGATTACAAGTAATAAGTGGATATTTGTTTTTCGGAGATAATTAGTGAATATTTAGGATGCCCTAGATAGAGGTGCTCCTATTCTCGCTGAAATTATCGGTTATGGTTAGTTCAATAAAGTTTTGTGAATTTATTTGAGCTACTATTTTTAGGAATCTCCTCCGACTGCTACCACCTCACAAGTCCAGATCCGTCTGGCATTGGAGCCCGGCTTTCCATGCAGAGAGCTATTGAAGATGCCAAAATCAAGCCAGACGATGTGACATACGTCAACGCTCACGCGACATCCACACCGACTGGAGACACGATCGAAGCGCTCGCTATACGAGAAGTCTATGGAAAAAGAAATTTGGCAGTTTCATCCATAAAAGGACACATGGGTCATCTACTCGCTGCTGCTGGCTCAGTCGAAACTATAGCAACGATAGCGGCAATTCTCGAGAAGAAGTTACCAGCAAATTTGAATCTCAACGAACCGGACGAAGGCGATGCTGAAGGTTTGGAGTTGCTGAAAGAAGTGAAGGAGTGGTCGGCTCCACGGGTCGCGATTGTGAACTCATTTGGATTTGGCGGTACAAATGCTAGTCTTATCTTAAGGGAGTATGAAAAATAAGTTTATTTGATGAATAAAAGTCGTACTTATGCTACTAGATACTAGATATAAATTTCAGATCAATGTAATGCATAATTCCTCTTGTAAGAGCTCTCCAATTTCCTGAAAGCTCTCGACCCTGAGATGACGGCAGAGAAGCTCCGAGACCTTTTTCCAACCCCAGTTTACATTTTAAAAAAATTTTTCTGATCATTTTACGAGTTTGACTTGATTTTTACGAAAGTTTGAAAATCGTTCTATTTATTCACATACGGATACAGATGCTTGCATAATTTCATTACGCAGTTCCTGATTTCTATCCCTCATAAATGTTCTGTCGGATTTTTATGCTTACGTACAGATGCACACCTCCAAAATGGACCCTAGGAATGTATCGGCATGGATTCATGGCGCAAACCATCAGTTTCGCGCGGAGACTAAATTGCCATGAATCCATGCGAAATACGATCCTGGGCCCGATTTGGAAGCGAATATCTCTGCCGTCAGAGCACTACCTGAGCTGCCGGTTGGGCAGTGACTTAGTTAGGGTCCCAAAATTACTATGCAGAGATCCTCGTAGTCCAGATTTGTCTGGACCTGCCGTTAACTTCATTCAAACAGTGGTAGTGTGAGAAAGTGTTCGTACCTGATTATATAGAGTCGTTTTTGCTTTTTTCGTTGATAATTTGTACTCACTTTAACAAGTTCCAGTTACATTCATAAACAGATTTGAAACTTTAGCAATAATTTTATACAAATAGAGCACTGTTTACACTTTTCAACAAATAGTCATCTTGTGTGGGAGTTCTTTTCAACAGCGGATTGAATGCAATGCACTATCTGAAGTGCCGAAAATAGGCTTGTTGATCGTTTATACAATCTCTCACCAATGTTCTATTGTATTGTGGGAAATTCAATCGAATTTTTTGCTTACGCATATTGGAAAAGTCATGCGGCACAAGGGATGCTCACATGAAGGCGGACATCGTCTATATATATTTAGATCTAGACTCTTAGGTACTACGATCATTTTCTCTCAAAATTGTCGTCATGCATGTCGATGCAAGCTGACAACCTCAACGACTGACCGAAAGTTCGCCGGACATTCAGGAACGAACCTCCCGCAGCCCTTTCTGTAAAGTTCTGCGCTGCTGAGTTCCCATCATCAACCAGGTGGCGTCAAATTCCTAGGGAAGTCCCATTTTCGACGTTCAACTTCTGTGGTAGAAATAAAACCCTGCGGAACCGCTGCAAATACTTCATGTCCAGCGGAAGTCTCCATTAGTTGTCGAGATGTTCCCACATATTTCCAAGCACCACCTTAATTACCGTGGTTGCTTCCATTTCCAGTCGATTGCTCTGTCAGGCCCTGGCCAGACTTCGCTCAAAAGCGCCCAAAAGCGCTCAAATTTCTTTGGTGTCTCTTCACTTTCTCATGTGACGAGAGATGAGAGAGAGTGAGGAGAGGTTAGAGAAGGTTGGGCGCTTTTGGGCGCTTTTAAGCGAAGTCTGGCCAGGGCCTCAGAACTAAGGCAATATGCGGCGACTCGATTTCTAAACTTTTCGCCCGACTGGACCCACTCGTAGCGCTAATGCCCAGAAATTTAAGGGATATAGAACTAGGAAAAAAAGCTACAAAGCTCTTCACATTGCAAGAAATTGAGATTGTAATTCGCTGCTGACAAGGGGAGAAACCGAGAAGAGGCGTGGGATTTGCACGTCAAGTTTGATGCGATCTGCATTTGCACCAAAACGAGTAGAAGTCGAAAACTGTGAACCACAATGTTTTGTGAGTTGTTCTCTTTTCTCCGGTCAGTATGTGCTAGTGTTCTAAGCTACACCAATGAAGCTTGAATGATTCTTCTGCAATTAAAAGGAATGCTTCAAAACTTGAAATTGACATTAGCTTAGCGTTGCCATCCTAGTACTGACTATCTCTTGGGCTTATTGAAAGATAGGTTTGTTTATCTTGCATTTCCAGCTTTGTACTGAAAAAACACCAGATTTTGGAAAGATTGATTGGCGGGACAAAAGTGCGCTACAGGTGCAGAATATTGCTCCGTATTGATTCAGACGAGAAAGACTCGTCCGCGTTAGTCATTCACCACGTGATTCTTCTTCTTCTAATAGAATGCATTTGCTTTTTTTGAAACTTCTCAAAATACTTTAGTAATTATACATTTAGAGCCTTCACATGCTCAAATAGACAATTCCGCCGAAAGATGGAATCCTGTGGTATGGCACAAGCTGATTTTTTGAAAACCCATTCTTTATGACCAAAGTTTTCTTGAATATGCTAGGTGGAAGTCATTTAGGTAATCTGTTGAGGGAGAAAGCGAAGAAATCAGTTTTGTATCTGCCAAAGCTTCTCGTGTTCAAAGAACGCAATCATGGTTAAATTATGGGTTCAAAAACAAAGCTACCGAGCTGACACCTAAGTTCTGAAACTAATAATGACTTTTTTCTTAATAATGGCACTACTTTTTGGTATAATGCAGATCTAGTGAATTTGACGCAAACTATTAGATTTCTGGTGGCGAAGAAAAATCCACGTATTTTCGACAAATTCCATCAGAAATTTTTATTGGGCTAAAGACAAGAAACGAATTCGTTCGCAGGTTGAGTCGAATGAGCCGAAATTACATAGATTGTTAATCGTTCACTTACTAACTATCTGTATACAGTTTCGGCTGCTGGTTCAGTTCAGGCTGCGCACGGTTTCATTTCTGTTTCTAGACCAGTGAAATTTCGAATCTGACTTTTCGAAAAATGTGTGGATTTTTTCCAAGCTACGAGAAATCGAGTCGCAGATTTTGCGTCATTTGTAGCTCACTACCTAGTCTGCATCATATCAATAAATGAATTAGCCACATCCAAATTAGAAAAGTTGTGAAGGCAGTTGCAAAACTTGTAACAAAATATTAGATTTTCGGGCTTTCTATGATCAAAACCCCGGAACAACTCTCTGAATAGCATATGGTTTGCCTATGATCAACTTATCGGAAACCGTTATTGCAATAGAAAATCGCTGCTCAGCCTGAGGTTTTTGCAATTCAATTTTTTCACGGTCAGACCTGCTTGTCCACATTTCTACCACGAACATTCGGCAGTGCTTGGCGTTAACGCTGGCCAGGATTTTCTGCGTTTATCCCATTTAGTTTCACTCAGTATTTTTCGTGCACTACTTCGTTGCTCCAGCGTGTACTTGCGAATTTTCTTTGCGCAATACTTGCGCATACGCATTCAGTGGTTTCGAAATTTAGGTCCATTTCAGCACCGGCACATCATCATGGCTCGCAGCCGCAGCAGGAGTCGAGGTTCGTAATTTTATTCTGGCCATTTCGAACGCATTTCAATTCGTAAATTTAGTGTTAACATCTAGAACGTCGCCGCCGTTCTCGATCTCGATCTGGTGAGAGAAAGCCGCGCGATCGAAGCCGTGATAGAGATCGAGAGGATCGAGGGAAGCGTCGCTACAGCAGGGAACGTCGAAGCAGCAGGAGCAGGTAACTTTTTTCTTTTTTCCTTTTCGATCCGTTATTTGCATTTTGTGCATGAGCAGCTGATTGATTCGTGTTTTCCGTAACACATATGCTGCGTGATGGCATTTTATTGGGGAATGATTGATCTGGAAAAAACTTAGGTTTCACACGACAAATGTGCACGTGCAATATGAACGCTCTCCATAACATTTTGCTTTTTCTCCAGACAGTGTCTTTAGTTTCCTTTTAGAAGTCCTCATGATAGACGACGAAGTCGTAGCCGTGACCGTAAAGGACGTGATCGTGATGATAGACGAAGCAGGGATAGTCGTAGTCCACATGACCGACGAAGGCGTGATGACAGAAAGGCTCAAGGTATTTTGTCCACGTGATTTTTTGCTCATTTCTCTAGAAGTAACGGAATTCAATTATGACCATTTTTGTTACCAGAATGGCTCGCTAGTTCTCCCCGAACTTCCTTTATATCATGGCTGTCTTTTGCAGTATCATATTATATGTTTTCAGAACCAATATCTCTCGAGCAGATTGTGAATTGCGAACAAGATTTGTCGGCTCTGATGGGCTTTGCTGGTTTCGATACCACGAAAAACAAGAAGGTGAGTTATTCTCTTATTTTCTTCTAGCTGTTGTCTTATGTTTAGGAGTCTCCACTATGTTTTGTAGGTCTCCGGCAATTATGAAGGTGCAGTGAAAATCAACAAACCTCGTCGTTATCGCCAGTACATGAACAGAAAGGGTGGCTTCAATCGACCCCTCGACTATATTGCCTGATCTCTTGGTTATCGTTTGTTTAATCGTTTATATTCAGAAAGCCGTAGTTGTATCATCAAACTGGTTTATGTGTTCTTTTGGTTGCATATGGTATCAATAAACATTGTTTGTACTTTCTAAGCTTGGATTGGTTGTTTAAGATCAATTAATACCGGTGTGAATGCAATCGTTTTGTTGCTTTCGACAAAGTTGTAGTAGTAGTTTGCTTGCTTGATTCAGATTACTATGACGAATTGCCTTGGAAGCGTTATATCCGTGGATTGCGGTGAATTCGGATATTATCAAGGACGACTTATCTCCTTAGATGCTGAATCAAAAGATATCGTGTTGGGATCTGCCTTCAAGTATGTTTTGATCCAAATAATAACCAACGTAGTTAATCAATTCCAGGGAAGGAATCCCGCTAGGCAAAAATGTGACTTTGAATGGTGCTCAAATAGTCAGTCTGAAGGTTTTGAAACCTGCACAGCCGAAGGAAACACAAGTGGCATCCACTTCTTCTAGTCAGGTGGAGAAAAAGGAAGTAAAAATGCGAAAATCAAATCCTTCAAAGCCAAATGGTCTCAATGTGCGCAGGAGCAAAAGCACTATTGAATGTAGGTTGTGCATGTGAATGGCTGAAATCTCGTATTTTAACCATCTACTGTTGCCTTACCGCTACCATTTCCTGGTTCAGGCTTCTAGTGATAGGTTGAGTTCCATGGGGAGTAGGCGGAATGCAGGGTTCTAGGGCGCCGGGATTTGAGTCTTGTTATCGATATTTTTTTTCGTATAGGGCAATCATATGTAATTTTTTAAGTGAGTAGCATATGTGTTTGAGTTGATAATGTCTTATTGTTTCCAGTTGTGGACGAAGAGAAAAACCATCGCAAGAGCAGTTGGCAACCACGGTTAGTTGCATTTTCTTGTTAATTTACCTTTGCGTATTCATTATCGTTCGCTGTCTTAGTCCTTTGGCGCCTGTCCAGAATAAACAGCATCGTAGCGGAGCACATCGGAAAGCAAGCTCTGTTAGTTCTACTAGTGAAGAAGGTCAAAGGTCAGTGTTGTTATGCTGCACCTTGGAGGAGTCTAATTAGTGTCTTTCAGTGCACCAAATGCCGAGGAATCATCCAAGGAAAGAACAAGAACTCGAAAAATTCGTCGATCGGAATCTGAACATGTTTGTTTTGTTTTTATGATGCAAGCTACCATGTAAATTTTGCGTCCAATATCTAGGGCCATAACCCCACGGTCTGCGTGTCGGAGACTCCCCAGTTCCGTCGTTTCGAGCCCCAAGTTCCACTCCCACGAGAGGTTTTAGCAGCCAAAGCGAAGTGTAAAGGAAAATCTAGAGGTTGGAGGTTGACATACCGTATATTGCATAATATTTTTTCGTAATAGGTCCTAGTGGTAATCCACTATTGGACTCAAAAAGGCTACATGGACGTATAGCAAACGGAAACGATGAACTTGTCAAGCCAATTGATTTTGACCTTCTTGACACTGACTTTGATTTTGCTGCTAATCTGGAGCAGTTTAAACGTGAGGTAAGGCAAGCAGGTTTGGCTGCATTTTGACATCACATCTGCTTCGATTATATACTGTGGTATCTAATTTTTCCATGACTTTTGCATTATAAAATGCTTGTAAATGATTTTTGATCTTTTAGGATTTGGATGATGAGTATTTCGAAAACGTGGAGAAAACAAAAGTGTCTCACAATTTTGCTCATTACGAAAATATTATCGATGATCCAACGAGATGTACATCATGGACAAATATGACTGTTGCGAATAGCGCAAATGCTAGCGTGAAACACGGAAAGGGCGAAGACGGCTTAAATACGGAAAGGTAGCAGTTCTTCTCATTAATTTAGGACCGTCCTTGAGCAGTCACTTCTAGGAGGACTTCTCCCCTGCGATGCATTTCTTTTTGTCCTAGCGCTTATGAGACAACATATGACGGTTTTCCTTTACCGGTGCTCGATGTCGCGCTCAAGAAAAAATATCTGCAGGTAACTGGCGGTGTTCTAGTTTGAGCCATTCTTTACCGCTACCATAGTGTAAGTTATATCATTTTTACTGCTCGTTAACCTCTTGCTTTAGGAGTGCTGTGCTGTAATGGGTCCAGATGTTTATTTTTACTTGATTGCTGATAGATTGATTATGTGGCTGATAGAAGTTGTTGGAAGGTCAGCGCGATTGCTCATCCATGTGAATGAATGCCCGATTAGAGTCCAGCTTTTTGCAGAACTGATTTGTCACTCAACGATGCGGTCATCTTGGCGTCAGCTACCACCTCTTCACGTCTTCTCGATTGTGTCTTATCTCATCTGGATAATAGAGGGTGAGTTGTCATCATGCGTTACATGTTTTCTCGAAGATTCTTTCCAGAATGATGTGGTCTTTGTCTTTCCTTGTTCTTATGCTTTTTTTTTCACTTTCGCATCTGATAAGCAGAATTATTTGGGGGACTTTATTGTCTATTCAAATTATCTCTGTTATTTTGCATGCCTTATAGGTGTTCTACCACGGTTTATGGTAAATATCCAAGTTTCGACTTCGGTTCGGTTACGGTTGTGGAACGTGTATCTGCACTGCCAGCAACCTCGAAGGTGCGGTAGTGTGAAAATCGCTTCTTTCTCATGAAATCGTTGCTCTTATTTAGGTTGTCATTGTGCTAGCTGATGATTTGACGGCTGAGACACAGTCGTGGTTGTGTAAACAAAAAAGTGCGCATGTAGTATCGCTCGAATGCGCCCCTGCCGTTGTGGACCACAAAAAAGTAATTTGAGCTTATTTTTTTATGAAAAGGTTGAAATTATTTTCACTCACGTACTCTCCAGCTTCATATCCTTATGTTGGGTGTTTTGACTTCCGGCCTCTATACCACAACAGCTCAACCGCAAGTGGGGAAAACCAGCTTTGCCAAGCTTTGTGCTGCCATGAAATCCTGCAGATTTATTGGTGAGTCTTTGCCTTTCATTTGATTGTAATTGGTTTTTAAAACTGTTTAAGATTCTGCGGTATGTGATGTGGGTGCCCCTTACTCCTGGATTGCTGAAGACGGGAAAGCAAACCTTCAGCAAGCTTTTTCGACTACACTGATGCGCCGTTTATGTTGAGAAAGAATACTCGTAAGAAATGTTTTGCGCATCATGGCATCGAAAGCACCTTGAGCCCCTGCTGTCCCTTTGAAGCATAACGGAATTCCGACTCCGAGTGTGCTAAAGAATCCGTATGTTAGATGGGGAAGTTCAATTATCGTAAGTGCAGTGTTTATGTTTATGTTTATGTTTAATCCCATCTCGTTCTTGTCTTACCGATGTTCGTACAAAACCTTCCCTTGTATAGTTGACAATCTTATGACTGAGAATTAGTTGTTGTACATTCTGACCTTTTGCTGTATCCTGTGCTTAGATTCTACCAAATTTTCCCCGTACTTATCCCTTCAGTCATTCAGACAAAATGCCTTCTCAAGTGTTACCCAAAGCGGCTCACCGCAAATAGACCCTAATGAACTTTGGTGCTGTCTTTTTCCTCATTTTGAGATACAGACTTTCATTGTGATCTCCTCAATGTATTTAGAGGTATCCTCTATTCATTGGTAATTGCTGCACGCTATGTATCAGATACCTAGGAGCAATACACCTCCCTCATTGTTTTCGCTAGAGGTTTGTTTCTCTTTTTTTGAGATACGCATTGAGCTTAGTTTTTATAATTTCTATGCGCTTTACCCACCAGACTTGTCTTTAGATGACTTGTTCCTTTTCTTCTCGGGTTTGTGTACGGATTACCTTATTGGTGTTCAAAAGCAGTGATTTTTTCCTGATTTTATTATTTTTGTGCTCTTTTGCTTCTGTCATTTATCACGACATTATTTTCTCCATATGTTTTACATCATTCCCTTGTCGTCTCTGCCACCAAGCAGATGGAACATTTTATTCCCGTGGAATCCATTACTGCTTTTTCTGTATTTTTTATTCTTTTAGTCAATTTTAGCGGTTTGATCGTTCAGTGTGGTTGGTAATTCCTCTGTCCTCATTTTTGCTAGCTGTCTCTTCCTCGACTATGGTGAGTATATCGAGTTGAACGTTTTTTAACGTTATCTTCATACATATTAACCTTCTACGAATTTTGTGCTTGTCGAAATCTGAACTTGAATTGTGGAAAATGCTTTCGGTATCCCTCCCGGTTCTCTTACAGTTGTTTGCTTTTGTAGAGTTGGTCGTATTTTATTGAGCAGTTTTATCATTATTCTGTACTTGTAATCATTCATGTTTAGTTTGTTCTCTCTATTTCTCTCTTCCTTAGTGGTATTTTGGTGTTTGGTTTACAAGTAGTCACTATAAATTAGATTTAGTCAAAGCGTATGCATTGTTGGGAGCGTTGTACTCGCTATTTACTTCTTTGACTTGTTTTGAAAATGTTTGGACAGACGTATGGGACATCATTTTGAACCTTGAGAATGGATGGCGTGATAGTTGATTTGGATGCCGTGTCTCCACCGCCATCACAAATCTTCTCATTATTTGGAGACGATGCCGAAAACTACACTCATGGCGTAGACCGGTCAGTAACGTTTTGCTTTTCTTTTTTATTCTAGAAAATAATGATACGCAAAGGTGAGAGCAGGCGAAGTTTTATTGTGCACTGAACAATTTCGCTTTTCTGTTGTGCATATGAATTTTCATGATGTTTGAATACGCATCAACTGATGAAATTATTGGCAGACTAATTAGCTTGATTCGTGTGCTCTACGTGTGATGAGTAAGCAATGTCTTCTTCAGTTCTTGTAAACAGAATTCACTGGCTTTGAAATTCAGCGAAATTACTGAACCAACTCTAATGAAAAAGGTTTTTTTTGACGTCAGTGTATCAAATAATAGATCCTTTTTCGACATGTCTGGGAAATGACCATCAAAATACCCAGTGTCTGGAAGCGACAAAGACTTTGAGGGTGGATGAAGAACAAGGAACGCATCAAAGTCGTAAAAATATCGCATTTATTGCTCTTCACAAACAAACTAATAGCCTGCTTTGACTGACTCCGGTATCCGTACATCGCGAACTGATAAGAATAACACCATGCAAGCTAGGAGTGGTGACGATAAATCGATCGAATCAATTTACCAAAACCTCTTTTGGGGAACTACTTTCTGAGACTACTTTTGTGTAAATATAAAATTCACCAATCGTTTAGTGCTTACCCGTTTAGTGCTTACTCGCTTCTGGGTGCAATGACATTATCAGGACCATATATGACCGACTGGTTTGCAATTGCAACTAGCATATTCCTATGGATGGCAGTCTCTTATGGAGTTCTTTACCTGGGTGCAGCGTTAGTTGCCTTATTAATGATGCGGCGACACCCTTACGTTGTTCTCTTCGTCATACCGCTTCTAGGTAAGTTTATCAAATTTCGCTTTCTAATACCAGTCTTCATAGTGCTTGAATCCATTCTTAAAACCAACTTTTTGCAGCGATGTGCGTTATTGGACCAGCCACTGTTGGAGTGTTGACTTCAATGGTGTTAGCCTACACCCTTAGTGCTTCCGATAAGGATATAAGTCCGTGGCATTGCATGGTGCTGGGTGTCTTTCAAAGCATAATGATGATCGTAGTATCCTTTAGTCGACTACTAGGAACGCTCTAGTGAGTTTCTTGGAAAGTGCATGTTGCTTTTTTTTCAAATCGTTCTCTCTTATGTTAGTAACCGTTTCCGCTCTCAATATATAAGCACTAGTATTTTTTCCGTCATGTGGAATTCACCCTAAGTTCTGCGTGCGTTTTTTGTAGCCATTATGGAGAGTTTTGAGGGGGTTTTGAATATACTGGTATGTGGTAACAGTTTTTTGTTCAACCAGTCACATCGTTAAAGGTACCGTCCACCCAATATGGAGGTCGGCAAGATTATAGTATACTAGTGTGGGCCCCCACACTAGGCAAACCCCCAAGCTTCGCCGCAAAAAAACTGCTTCTGGAGCGAGAAAACCGCTCCGGAAGTAGCAAAGTAGGCGGGGCGACCATGGTCGCCCCGCCCACTTGCATGCTCTATCTCGCCTGCGTTTGTTGCAGAGGGTTCTCGAAACAGGGATTTTTGGGGGTTTCGCGGATTTTCGACTCCATATTCGGAATCAGAGCTTTCAGAAGGCCTGAGGGCGACAAATTGAATTCGAGATTTTGGGTGGACGGTGCTTTGAAAGGCAGCGTCCAACCAAATTGGGGTTGGTGAGATTATGATACCTAGCAGATGTGGGGCCCCCAACTGTATGACCGACCAACTCGCGCTGCCTGAAGTTACTTCCGAACCGAGAAAATTGCTACGGAAATCGCTTCAGGCCGCGTTCGCGACGCTGGCTCCTCCCCTTTCGGAGTGGGCGTGACGTTCGTCCCGCCCATCCGTGCGCGCCCAACCAATCACCGTACCGAAGAAATCGCTCTGCGGGTTCTGAAAACGGGGGTTTTTCGTGGTTTTCGCGGATTTTTAACTTATTCGGAATCAGGGGTATGAGAAGGCCCTGGAACGGCAAAACATGGAGGTCGAAATTTTGGGTGGACGGTGCCTTTAAGGTGATAATCAATAGGTGCAGTCAGCGGCAATGTTTTTTATACTACTATACGTTTCTTTAGGTTATCCTATGTGAATGTTGGAGTTATTCTGCGTGATGCAGAAGTTTTTCAGTATTATCTGCTATTTCTCTTTGCCGTTTGCTGTCGCCTGTAAAACCTAGTCAATTTATCACTGTGAGTCTGCCAAAACAGATAACGTTAAAAATTGTAAATCTCTGTGACTCTGATTACACGGCTTCAACTTACCTTAAATGCGGGTCTTTCGCACATGAGGTGCATAATGTTGTATCATATTATGAATCCAATGAGCTCCAGTGCTTTCTGTCCATAATATTAAATTTTGCCTTGCGCTAATTCAATGAGATTGTGTGATTTGTTTCCTTGCTCATAAATTTTTTGACTTCTCAAATTATCCTGGTTGACACAAATTGAATCGTCTATTCCATAATAATCGTTCAGGTGGCTTTGTTAACTTATTCAGACTTGGCTCCTAGTAGAAGCTTTGGAACTTTTGGAATCAGCTAATGAGCTGACGTTTATCATTAGAACAGCATTCCATCTGGTTTTTACCTTCCGTTGTATTTGCGGTATAATATGATGTGTGATGTAGTGTAGCGGAATAAGATCATGCATGGAATTTACCTGGCTATCCAGACTACTCCGACTTTCCAAAACTAATCAGAATATTGTCTCTCTTGTTAACCAATTTTCTGCAATACACGTAATTCGAACTGTTCATTGTTTATTCGGTGGAAAAACACATTGTTCGGAATTATAATACAAATTTAGCGAAGTTTTCGGTGAATTAGAAACTATTGGGCGTAGTAGTCTGACACTTAGTGCTTTGGGCTAGAGATCTGACAATCAAATCCAGCATCACCCAGATTTTCGTCTGCCATGTTTTCATTATGGGACAGTTCCATGACCTTAATCCTTAATTTAAAATCAACTCCCTATGCCGACGCTCTTTTCATAACTGATGCTATACCTTCAAGGAAAATTGAGGCGAAGCAGAATGGAGTTCATGTACTACAAACTACGCGCCCAACCTCACCCCTCCCTCAAAGTGGCGGTTGGAGCTTCGGCTAGTCCAGTCGTGTGCAGCAGAAAATCCCGTTCAAGCAGAACATATGGACACAGTTGTGAAGTGTGCATCTAGATTGCGCTCTTTGTGTCAAAATGCATTAGAGAGCAATTTTCGGATAAGCGGGCGGATTCAGTATCTTAGGATTGCATATCCATTTTCCCCTTTTAGGGGCTACCCCAGGGAAGTGGACCGCCGTCATTTTCGTAGCCTGCTCATACACTAATTAGTATTTGTGGAGCATGGATTTTAGGTGGGGGTCGTCTTTAATATACTCTGTGATGCAGATCTCCGACCACAGTGCGTGGATAAATTGGCAGTGGCGCAAAACTTGCAAATGTGAGAGCAATTTGCAGGCGCGCAGATATTGCAGGAGAATACCCACAAACGCTATATAAATATTAGAATCTACTAAGGTCACTTGAACGACTTTGACCACCTTAAGAGAAATTCTGCAAGGATGGGTGCCGCGCTGACGCGCGAGCTCAACATTTGCGCTAGAGTAAGAGGAGAAGAGCGCTATGATTGAGTTTTTCTTCACGTTGCGTTAGGACAGAAGTTTTGATATTAAATTCAAAAATATGAATCATGCGCTAAGGTGACAACGCTTGACTTGCGTTGTGCCATTATTGAACCGAAAATTCTTTTATAGACAGTGTCCCACAAATTTGAGGGGCAAAAAGACAACTTTTTGCCCCTGTCACTGTCTTTTGTCTTTTTGGGCCTATTCACTGTGCTGAATCCGAAAATTCACACTGGAGAGCAGCGAAAACAAGAGTTCACAGTGGGGAGACTTCTCCACCTGCTGATTTCCCTCCTGCATTAGAGTATTTTTCGCCGTTTTCGCGTTCTCCAGGGATTTTCGGATTTAGCATAACGAGTAGGCCCGGCTAAGCACAAAATCTCAAAATCGACTTTTTGGCCGAACGCTGCCTTCAATTACAACTCGCGCTTGCCGCGCTAGCAGGTTTTCTCTCGAAGTGATTTCAGTTGCGTCATAGGCGACTTTGGCTTGTAGCAGTCGACACAATCATTACAGGAGCTGCTCCTTTTCTGTATGTGAATATACTTCTCGTCCAGTCTTGATACGGTTTTATGAAGTAGAGGGATAACAGTGGATTGATTATTGGAATCAGGCCCATGATTGTAGGTGAGTATCCATACAGAAGATTGTTGAGAAGTTCGAAGTGTTCCACTACAAACATAAACATGCCAACAACGAAGAGCATTGGTAAACATGCTTGATAGGTGATGGCCTAAAATATGCTCTTTGAGAGTTTGCCTAGTTTATATATCGCAATTACCTTTAGCAACTGTGAATGCATGCGCACAGTTCTTTCTGACATAATTTCGAATCTCAACTTTAGTCGTATACTTCTTCTCAACATCAAAATTGCTGTGTAGACGGGAAGCACAGGAAGAAACATATGCAATGTCATAAAAGAAGTCTTCCATTCCAAGAGAGACATATAGGCGCCGACACATTTGCCAGTTACGTTGAGATTGGAGGCTCTAATCAGTTCCTCTCTGGCAATACCCTCTATCTTCATAGCAAAACATGACAATATCTGAAAAGTATCGGTGAGCGTTAGTGCGATGATTTTTGATGATTGTAGTAAGGCGGGCACCAAATTTGTGAATTGTTTGAGCAAACATGGCGCACTGAGTGATGGGCGACATTTGCTGTCGCTTACCCTACTATATCACTGCAACGTGGTCTCATCATTTGATTCTTATAACAGCGGGAGAAGAAATGGAGAAGTCATTCGAAGAGGAGTAGGCATATAAATCAACTAGCTGGCTTACCCGGCTCCGCCGTATGTTCCGAATAGAAAATTCCATTTCTCAACCGATCCGGACCAAACTTGGCACACATACACTTCGGGCCCCGGGAACGCCCGTAAAAGGGCTCGGACCTGGGAGGAGTTGCAGGTGCGCTCCATCGCCATTTCGATTAGAGCACCGTTTTTTCAAGTGGGGCGCACTATTTCCTAACACTTAGCGTTTCACAAACTTTCCAAAGAGATGGAAGACTGGGAGGGACCATGTGCAAAATAATAGAATGTTTTGGTTCATTCCGCTTGCATGTACTTTTCCTCTTCTCAAGCTCTCAGGACATATCATCAAACCCTATGGTTCTCATGATTTGGCGTTCATGCATTACTCAACAATACTTTTGCTTTGTGTTCTTCTATATATGACCTTTGTTTTGGTTCTTATTTTACTCTACTCACTAGAGTTATGCAACAACGCTTTTGGTCCAACAACGAAAATGGGGAGACGATCAAGAGGCGCGATTTCTCCGGCTGTCACCAACTTAAAACTCCATTGTAGTGCTATACGAGTCTTCAAAAAAACCAGATAAATTGCATTGGATTACTATCTGTCTGAGGTTACCACTTGCTAAGTCTGGTGGCTTTTGCTGGAAAACTAACCAAAATACTTACGAATTTGTTCTTAACTACATTTTCATGAGTTTTTGACCTTCTCAATTGCTGTTTTGAATTGAATCTAAGGTAGCAAGATTGAGCAACCCATGCAACTATCTAGCCCAGCCATAGTTAGCATTTACCCTCTATAACCTTTGCCTGAATTTAATCTTGAAACTCATTGTCAGGAACTGTCTTGAACTTCCGTTTTTGGGTTAGTCTCTGCTGCTCTAACTTCTCTTTGAGTTCACACTACTTGAGGATCTACTTTGTGCAGCTTTTAGAAGTATCTTAGGGCTGCTAGCGCCAAATTGGGATGGATTTAGCACTGGTGTTCGTGTACGAACTCTTTTTACGGCTCGCATGTGGCCAATCAAATTCTGGCAACAGCTGTGTTTCAGTCCTTCCTACTCCTTCAAAAACATCCTTTACGGTGTTGCTTTGTCTTTTTTTTTCTTGAGACGACCTATAACTGTCTTGTAATTGCATAACTTATCTCGAAAACATAAAATTCTTTCCTGAAATCTGCTGGAAAACTTGTTAGATCGACGTCTTTGAAGCAATGAGAGCTAAAAAAAAAGAAATTGAATGTGTCATATTTCAATTTTGCGCTTGATAGCAATCGTCGCCTTTTCTCATGAGCTTCAAAAGCGCTGCATAGTCGTAAATCATCATTGCTAATGTTGTTCGATAAGCTTGTCGATGATGCTTAGATTGAAAATTGAAGAACAAATGGGTGGAAAATGGCAACTATATGCTAGTGACCTTTACAGACTGTAACGTTTTGCTAAATGGAAAAACCGGGATTTTTGCAGTTAGTGAATAGTTTTGAATGTACAAAATTAATTTGCCCAGCTGTCAACCTCAGGAATTCTCTAGAAACAAACAAATTTTGAAACTTGGTGCTATACTAAGTTAACTATGGAATTTTACTTACTGGAATTGAAATTAATGAGAATTTTTTTAGCAAGAGCTGACCAATGTGCTGAACATAGAAATTGGCCTGCTGCCATGTTCTCACTGAGCATCACTTCGGGACAAGTTCGTAGTTTTCCGTAGGACGGGTTCTTAGGCACATGCCGTAGGCTGCGTTCATAATAATCGGGAAATCTGGAAACCTTGGAACTTGGAGCAGATCTTACTTATCATTGATCCATTGAGAACATAGATATTGTATATATTCGTGGAAATACATGTGACAAGAGTCCAAACGCATGTAGGGTCGGTCGAATATGCACAAAAAATCCAGCATGCTTGGAAATTATGTATTTCGAGCAAAACATTCTCAGGGATTTCAAATTTCTGGCGGGCTTGTGGGTTTGTGCTTCAAAGTTAAGCAGCAAAATGGTTTGATGTTTCACAGAATTTTTTCTACGCATGAAATGCACGCAAACGGGTCTTATCGTAACAAAGAATTGGCAGTTTTGATCCTCTGACATGATTTGTCCACATTTACCGTCAAATTCCCACAAAGATGTCAAAGACTATACGTATACTCAAAAACTACCCAGATCGGCGTGGAAGTGTTTGGAGATAGTGCGCTCCAGTTGAAAAAACGGTGCTCTAATCGAAATGGCTATGGAGCGCACCTGCAACTCCTCCCAGGTCCGAGCCCTTTTACGGGCGTTCGGGCCCCGGCGGGTGTCACAGTCCACTTTTCGTTATCGATCGATGTCGATTTTATCGATTTTTTGCAAAATTTGAGCTAGGGGGCTGGAATTTAACAGGGGGTGTAATCGATTACCCCCCTGTGCCAACTCCCAGCCCCGTAGCTCAAATTTTGCAAAAAATCGATAAAATCGATATCGATCGATACGAAAAGTAGCCTATGACACCCGACGGGGCCCGTAGTGTATGTGTGCCAAGTTTGGTCCGGATCGGTTCAGAAATGGAATTTTCTATTCGGAACATACGTACACACATACAGACATACAGACATACAGACAGACAAACAGACATTCAGCTTTATATATAAGATGAAACATCGTCAGCGACGCACGGACCTCTCTGATCATATCATTCGGACACACTTTCGTTTACATGGAGGTGTGCGAATAACCATAGCTTACGCACCTTGCCAGGAAGGAAAGTGCGAGGGGTTTGTGGATGAACTGCACGCAGTTTCGCAGCAACGTTACGGGTACGGTATTATGATTGGAGATTTCTACGCCCGTATGGGGGAAGAAGAACCGCAAACCAAATATGGGGACAAATGCCTGGGGACGCGTAACAATAAAC